GAAGGGGAATTGATGAGTCATATGGAAGGTCGATTTTCAGATGTTTTAGAAATCGCCACACTGTTTTCCACAGAGTTTGTACTAGTTTACATTCCCACTTTCCCCACACCCTCTCCAGCATCTGTTGTTTTTTGAGTTATTAATGATGGTCATCCTGACTGGAGTTCAGTGGTATCTCAGTGTGGTTTTAATTTGCATTTCTTTGATGATTAGTGAGGTTGAGCATTTTTTCATGTATCTGTTGGTAGCTCGTATGTCTTCTTCTGAGAGGTGTCTATTCATATCTTTTGCCCATTTTTTAATAGGGTTGTTTGTTTTTTTCCTTTCAGCATGTTTGAGTTCCTTGTAGATCCTAGATGTTAGGCATTTGTCAGACATATAGTTAGCAAATATTTTTTCTCAGTCTGTGGGCTGTCTCCCCACTCTCTTGATGGTTTCTTTTGCTTTGCAGAAGCTTTTCAGTTTGATGATGTTGCATTTGTCTATCTTATCTCTTAAGGCATGGGTATCTAGGGTTTTGATTAGGAATTGGTAGCCTCTTCTAATTTCCAGAACATTCTTATAGTTTGAGGTTTTATGTTTAGGTCTTTGATCCATTTAGAGTTGATTTTAGTATACGGTGATAGGTAGGGATCCTGTTGATTTTAGTATACGGTGATAGGTAGGGATCCTGTTTCATTCTTCTCCATGTGGTCAGCCAATATTCCCAGCACCATTAATCAAATAGGTTCTTCTTTCCCCAGTAGTTGTTAGTGGAGACTTTGTTGAAGATGAATTGGTTGAGAAATTGAGGTTTTGCTTCCAGAATCTCTATTCTGTTCCATTGGTCTATATGTTTGTTCTTGTACCAATACCAAGCTGTTTTGATTATTGTAGCCTTATAATAAAGCTTAAAGTCTGGGAGTGTGATACCTCCTGCCTTGCTTCTTTTGCTGAGGATTGTTTTGGCTATTCGTGGTTGTTTTTGTTTCCATAGGAATTTCTGTATTGTTGTTTCCGGGTCTGAGAAGAATGATCATGGTAATTTAATGAGTATTGCATTAAATCTGTAGATTGTCTTGGGTAGAATGGACATCTTAACAATATTGGTTCTTCCAGACCATGAGCATGAAATATTTTTCCATTTGTTTGTGTCTTATTTGATTTGAGCATTGTTTTGTAGTTTTCATTGTAAAGGTCTTTCACTTCTCTGTTTAGGAAGATGTGAAGGTATTTTTTGTGTGTATGGCTATTGTAAATGGGATTGTGCTTTTTATTTGGTTCTCTGCCTGTTTGTTGTTGGTATATGAAAATGGAACTGTCTTTTGCACGTTAATTTTATACACTGAAACTTTGCCAAAGTCCTTTATTAAAGCAAGGGGGTTTTTGACAGATTCCCTTGGGTTTTCCAGATATAGGATCATATCGTCTACAAAGAAGGATAGCTTAACTTCTTCTTTTCCTATTTGGATACCCTTGATATCCTTCTCTTGTCTGACTGCTCTAACTAGAACTTCCAACTCTATGTTGAACAGAAGGTGAGAGTGGGCAGGCTTGTCTTGTTTTGGTTTTCAGGGGAATAATATATGCAGCTTTAAGTTCACATTTTCTTCCTCAGCTAATTGTTTGCATTCATTTTCTACTGTAGTTTTTCCATAAGCAAGAACAAGGATGTGATAGAGGAACCAACCTTTGAATATATTAACCAGGACCATATCCTAGGGGTTGGTATAATGATAAGACAGAAGGAACTTGAAAGTCTGGATGATTTTGTGGAACAGTCTCCTCCCAACCTGAACCAATGGCCCACCTTTCATCAGATATGTGATAAATAAATTTTCACCTCTTACATTACTCACTGTAATTTGAAATCTCCTTATTACAGCATTATAGTGTGCACACTAATTAATACATCAGACTACATACATAATTGAAAATATTATAACATAATATAAAAGAGATAAAATAAAATATGTTTATAATAAAATAAAATGTATTTCTGTATGCATGTGCTTTGGAACAACTATATATAAGATAAATGCTAGTCATCTCTATCATGAATAAGTTTGGGTATAAGTGAAATAAGATGACCATAGTCAGTGTACCAAATCTACAAGAAAATGTATCAGCAGAAGTAGCAGTAGTCATAAGAACAAAAATCATTTTTAGGTTAAGTAACAGCAAAGCAGACAGTATATGATAGGAGAAAAAATAAGCTAATCTTAATTGAAATAGAGATGATATCTGAAGGTAAATTACAGATTGCCCAAGAATAGAAAAGAAAAAGTATATTTTCCTAAATGATATGGGCAAAATAATTTTCTATGGGGAAAACAATTCTCTGTGTTATGACATGGAATGACCTAGTAACAAAATATCATAGAAAATATATCTCCTTTCTTGAAATCCCACAACATATCAGGGCATACATTATCTCCAGTACTTAGAAAAAACTTAACTGTAACTTTCCATAGGTAAGGAAAACCACCTCAGTTATAAACTGGAAAAAGATAAAGTAATTAAGAATTATTTGCTAGGTCCTATGGGGACAATATCAGAATAAGACAGAAAAACAAAAAACTATCCAAAAATAATTTCAATATGTAATTTTATACCATAGATTTCTTACCACTATGCTAAAATAGTTACAAGTATGAAGCCTAGCAATACTATGAAATATTTCTAACCATTCATTTTTAACAATTCAATGAAATCAATGCATTTTGTGTATCTGTTAATTTAGTAATATTTCATTTTAAAACTAGCAAAAGGTATCTCAAATCTCCTGTTGCATATTTGAAAATGCTTTCCATGGTCTCTCAGGAACTATACTTCTATCTTTTATGACTAAATATATTGTTAAAAATATTACAAAATGTTGAGTAGAGTTTAAGTAAATTATTCAATAATTTTAAGAATAATCTAATCTGTTCTGTGTCAACTTCCCTCTCTATAATAAGCCCTCTAAATTCCTTGTTTTGGGGACTAACATGTTTTAGTATTATTTTGTATTAAATCAATATACAATTGTATTTTGTAGTTTGTTGAATTTAGAACGTTTAAACATTATTCCACCCGTTGGAAAGTCATATTACATAGCCCTGTTCCATGTATTTCAGGATATTCCTTGCCCAATAAAATGCCTTGTATTCTCCAAAATTACTGTAGCCCAAAGTACTTGTGAAAATGTCTAAATTGTATCGTATGGCAATATCTCTCAAACTACTTATGGTAAAGGACCAGTTTTTCCCTATATTCTGACTGAGATCTATTCTTTTCTAGAAGAAAATTAAAATGAGTTACTAGGGAAAAAATAAAATATAAAAAACAAAGACGTACACAATACAAGCTCCATTTTATTATTAGAGTCAACAGACAAAAGTTACTCTGTCAAATTACTATACAAGTTCCTAAAGAATTTCTCTCACTTTTTGTACATATCTTATTGCAGACCAACAAGTAGTTTAAAGGCCGGTGCTGACCCATGGACCACACTTTATTTTTTTTATTTTTATTTTTTTTTGAGTTGGAGTCTCACTCTGTCACCCAGACTGGAGTGCAGTGGCTGCTCCCGGCCTCCGCAGCCTCGACCTGCTGGGCTCCGGCGATCCTTCCGCCTCAGCCTTCCAAATAGCTGGAATTATAGGCGCGCGCTACCACGCCCGGCTGATTTTTTGATTTATTGCAGAGATGAGGTCTCGCCAAGTTGCCCAGGCGGGTCTTGAACCTGCAGGCTCAGGCAATCCACTCACCTCAGCCTCCCAAAGGCGTGGGATTACAGGCTGAGCTACTGAGCCCAGCTTTGGACCACACTTTAAATGGCACTGTCCTGAGGACGGTACTATCTTCACTGAGAACAACTGGCAAAATAACAAAAATAATAACAACAAAATAAAGAAATGCTAGTAATTATCTTTATAATTTTTTAATTCAAAATATCCTTTAGCAGAGATGGAAATAAACAATTCCATCCACGTTAACAATGCTGCACTACCTCACACATTCCTGCCAGATCTCCAGATGTACACACACATCCTGTTTCCTTTCTTTCATAAATGGCAACCTTGTCTTCTATGATACTGACTTCCTCCCCTCAAGGGAACATCAGTACCATTTAGCCAGTGAAAAGTGCAGGATCCCTTTATAAGCCAAAAAACAAAGACAAAAACAGGATCTGCTTTTAAAAGGACTCATAAAATACACATATGCAGAATACACGAACAGTGCTCATCATTTGCCTACTCATCTTTGGATTCATGCACAAAATCGTTTCTGTTCTTCCAGGTCGTCCTCAACCTTTCTGGGTCTTCCCTGTCCCAAATCCACAACTCAGCACAGGAAATTCTACTATAGGCTTTCCTCTCCATCATAATTATATGTACAGGAGAATTTGCTTTAAGCATCAATTTTTTTCTCTTTTGTTTAGTGGTAAGAACATCATCACTTGAGGAGAATGCAAGGTTTATCCTATCCCAGTCATATTTTTGACAGTAAGTAAACAACTCTCTGCATGTAATATCAGAATAATGTGTTCAATTTTTATAATTCTTTAAAAATGCTACTGACAAGTTTTCATAAAAAAGATCCCAGGTCAGAAAACTCATTAAAATGGCTAACATCATTCTTTACTTAAGTTTATAATAAAGATCATATTGAGGTGTAAACTTTAATTATTTATATTTCCCATGAGATATTTTACACACATTACAGTAACATGGCATATAAAAAATATTTTAGTATGTGAGTATATACATGTGAAATAAAATTTAAATAAAAACAATTGTTTACTCACTCACATGATTTTTATTGCTCTAATTTTCAATAATTCTGCAATACTAATATAAATAACCATAAATATTAATTTTCTAGTGTCAGCCTATGGAAAAAAATACTCAGCTAACATTTAGAAAAAATGGATTATATGTCATTGTGTTTTTAAATTATTTAATTTTCTTTTAAAAAAGTGTTAATCAAATGGAATCTGAAGTTTATACATTTTATACAATAAAACATGATTTTACCCTTTTCTTGGCCACCACAGCAACTTTGGCATCTGTTTTAGATTTACCTGTAAGATAATAAAGCATGGCTGCTTCAAAAAAGTGCCTATGGTCTTATTAAAATCAATAGTTGCACAATTAGAATTTTCTACTTTCTCATACTAAGATAACAGCACTTTGGTTTCAATGGCCCCTTTAATTAAAATGCTAGTAACTCAGTTTCCCAGAGTTAAGTGAAGCAAAGTAATTCAAAAGTAATAATATCAGCATTTGTATATTTATTTGACAAACCTCTTCTCTTAAATTTTGATTGGCTGGTTGAATTCCCAAGTTAGCATCTAGTAGACCTGATTTCTAAGTTCTGATTAGGTTGTGTGCTCTGGAGTATACAGCATCTAGAATTAAATCCCAGTTACCTCTACTTGCATATCTACTACATGCTGGACATGAGATGAGGATTTTGTATAGATAATATCTTATTAATCCTCAAGATAACTTCGTAAAGGATGTAGTCCCTCCTCACTTCATAGCTGAGGAAGCTGAGGTTAAGTTCAATTAAAGATCCTGCCTGAGGTCATGCAGCTGGGCCAGACCCATCTGATAACACCGAGTCTTTCCAGGATGTTGGTAGTCTCCATTTGGGACTGCTAAGTTGCCAGGAGTGCCTCAGAGAAGGACCCAGCCAGAAGGACGGCTATCAGTATCTTTCCTCACCTAACCACTCTTGAACCCAGAATAATCAGTAACCAAAAAGTTCATAAAACGTTATTCCAGGATAACATTTTGATATGTGCAAAAGTATGTCTGTATTAGTATGTGTATATATTAGGCATAAATGATTGGCATAAAGCAGAAACTTAGAGAAAAAGGTTATCATATTAAGATCTACAACTGGCTGTCCACATGTAAACTGTCCTCTTTCTATATCTAGCTGTGTGCTTATGAGGATCACTCCCAGAGCTCCCTTTCTCTTTAGTGATGAATGTACAAGGCCATCTACCCAGCCAGATGGTTCTGCCAACTAGAAATCTTCAACTCTTTTGCAAATTCATGGTTACATTAGGCCATGGAATGTTCTTCCTTGTACTATGGTAGTTATGCATATGTCTAAGTACTCTGTGAGATTAGACTATTTCTCAGGGACCACATTTTATATTCATTAGGTGTTTGATATTACTGATAATTAATACATGTATATGTATGTTATCCAAAGTCTTATATGAATCTGAAATATTCATTGACTTGAGCAAATTAATGAAACATTAGTTAAAATGTATTGAGTCTTCACTTGGTATAAGCTACTATTCTAGAAGATGTAAGATATAAACAATGTATATGCTCTCAGACTCTGTTTCTTTATTGATAAACCAGGGGTAATGATTATTACCTCACTAGTATATTGCAAAATCTAAATAATATAATCCATGTAAATAAAACTACTAAAACAATGAATGGCAGATAAAAAAAATCAACAAATGTTCACTTCTATTTTAGCTAATAAGGACGTTATGGGGGATGTATATGTGTGTGTGTGACCTTAGCCTTTTGGATACTAGGAAAAATAGTTTAGAGAAACTATATTTCACTATCATATCATCTTTTGGGGGGATTCCACCATTCTTCCACCTAAATAATTATTTTCATTTTCTTAACATAGTTGGAAACAATGATGCGTAATAATAAAACATCAAAATGTCTCAAGATATAGGCAAAAAAACCCACTAAAATCCCACGACCCATTTTAGACTTATAAAAGGGTCCAGAGGAACTTTATGGTAATTACAATCTAGAATATGTGTGTTGTCTCTAAAAAAAAACAAACACACACACAACAATAATTTTTGTCTTTGTTCTTTTGAAAACATCTCCTAAGGATAAAACTCATGACAAATTACCAATCCTTACAAATAGTTAAAACTGAACAAAAAAGCTAAAAACCAAAATTGGATCCAATGGCTCCTAATGGTATATAGAGAGTTAGCAAAAATAGAATGGATATATGGATGTTTGCTATATTTCCTCTCAAAATACGTAAATTTTCCAATATGGAGATAAATTACAACAGCAATATCTAAACTATTATTCCAGAAGCTTTTATGTTCAAAAGTTGTAGAACAACTCCCAACAAAAGGAGAGTATCTTGGGGAGTATCAACAACCACGCTAAAGGGAAATTATTTTTTATTTTTTTTTAGTTGGAGTCTCACTCCATCACCCAGGCTGAGTGCAGTAGCACGCTCACAGCCACCCCAGTGTCGATCTGCTGGGCTCAGGTGATCCTTCCGCCTCAGCCCTTCAAGTAGCTGGAACTACAGGTGTGTGCTACCACACTCAGCTAATTTTTGATTTATTGTAGAGACGAGGTCTCGCCAAGTTGCCCAGGCTGGTCTCAAACCCGTGTGCTCAGGCAATACACTCACCTTGGCTTCCCAAAGTGCTGGGATTACAGGCTTGAGCTACTGCGCCCAGCCTACACCAAAGGGAAATTCTGATACAACACTTAAAAACACTATGTTCACTAGTGATTTTCCTGTTAAAAACAGTAGGTCCAAGTTCAACCTTAGCAACATTAACAACTTTCTAAAAGCTAAATTTTCCCTCAAGAGCAAGGTTTAATTTCCTTCCTTCAGAAATATCTGCATGTAGGGATTCTCATCATAAAGAGCAAAAAACAGTTAATAGGAAATGGAGATTTGGATAATGAAAAGGGCCTTCACTCCTCGTGAGCTGTATCCAAGTCATCTTTTTAAAGTGCAAAAGAAAAGCTGCAGATAATAGCAAATGAAAACGTTTTAAATGAGTAGAGATGGTTATGCCTCGTAACCCGGAACAGATGTTAAAGATTTTTATTTATAACCATATTACAGAGGAATATAAATATTAATGTAATTAATGGCTTACTGTTTTCAATACATTTTTTAAAGTGTGCCCATTCATGACGCCTGAAAAATTTCATCAGTTTGTGCTTCTCTAAATGTGATAGTTGACAGCATTTTCTTAAAAAGATAAAGGAATAAATGATAGTCCAGTTTCCATTCTGGCTTGTAAGGAGTTCAAAATTGCCACTCGATTCCAACAATGTTTAAAAAGCTGAACAAGTCGAAAAAATCAACAACTCTACTTAGATCTTTCAGAGAAGTGAAGTTATGGGGCAAATCGCTGCCCTCAAAGTTGAACAAACAGGCAAATACCGAGAATCACAACTCACCTGTGGAAAAACCTCGGCGGCAACTAGTACAGGAGCAGAAAAACCTGGACTTTAATTGGCAAATTGCTGGCGGTTCAGTATGAACAAGACTGAGAGACAAAAACTCCAAGGGGACCCAGTTGTGGGGGCAGGAGACGCAATTTTATAAGCTCCTGTGAGAATCAGGAGCTCTCCCAGGTTCTCATAGAGAAGAAAACAATCTCCTAGGCTTCCAGCAGAAGGTAAAGAAAAATTATAGTTTTGAAATAATATGCCAGAGCATTCTGTTCTTAACAAAGCCTGCCTAGAGGAAAAACTATTTTACCAGAGCCTGACCTATTGAGAATTTTTCAAAGCCAAGAGCCTAGCTAACCTGGAAGAAACAAAATACCCAGTTCCAGTCCCTTCTACTCATCTTTTGCCACCTAAGTGGATGAAGATTGAAAAAAAAAAGAGGAAAGCCCTTATGAAGCTCACAACCTAGGACTGAGATCTTATTATAAGATATAGAATATTTTCCCTTCCTGCATGTCTTATCACTGTACTACTAAAGGCCCATAATCACAGTTCTTTTTTATCCAGGACATCATGCCCACATTTCAACAAAAATTTACAAGGCATTCTAAGAAACAAGAAACAAAGTTTGAAGAGACAGAGTAAGCATCAGAATCAGATCAAGGCTGGGTTTAGTGGCTCACACCTGTAATCCCAGCACTTTGGGAAGATCATTTGAGGCCAACCAGGACAACATAGCAAGACTCCGTCTCTACAAAAAAGAAAAAAAAATTTGAAAAATTAGCCAGGCATGGTGTAGTCCCAGGTACTTGAAACACTGAGATGGAAGGATCCCTTGAGTCCAGGAGTTCGAGGCTACAGTGAGCTACGATCACAATTGTGCCACTGTGTACTCCAGCAGGAAAGAAAATGAATAATATAAAGTGCTCAATTAAAATCACAAAAGGTAGAAAAAAATGGAAGACTACAAAAGTAACAAAGAACAAGGCAATAAATAGAAAATAATAACAAATATGGTATCTATTAAGCTACTATGTTAAGAGTCACTTTAAACATCAATGGCCTAATGTACCAATTTTAAGAATTATACTATGCTACCACTAATGAAAAGAAAGTAGGATTAGTTATATTAATGTCAAATAGAACAGACTTCAGAGCAAGGAAAGTTATTAAGGATAAAGACGGCCACACAAGAAGACATGCAGCCTTTAATGTGCATGCACTTAACAACAGAGCACAAAAAAAGAAGGCAGAAACTGGTAGACCTGCAAAGAGAAATAAATGAATCTACTGTTATAGCTGAAGACTTCAATACTGCTCTATCAGAAATGAACAAATCCAGTAGGAAGAAAATCAGTAAGGACATAGTTGAACTTAACAGTACCATCAATCAACTGAATATTTTTGACATCCACAGACTACTTAATCCAACAACAGCAAGGTATACATTCTTCTCAAGATCTCAAGAAACATTTACCAAAATATAACACATTCTGAGCCATAAAACAAATCTAAAATAATTTTTTTTTTGAGTCGGAGTCTCACGCTATCACTAAGGCCACCGCAGCCTTGAGCTGTTGGGCTCAGGCAATCCTTCCGCTTCAGCCTTCCAAGTAACTGGAACCATAGGTATGCACCACCATGCCTGCCTAAGTTTTATTTATTGTAGAGACAAAGTCTCGCCATGTTGATCAGACTGGTCTTGAACTCCTGAGCTCAGGCAATCCTCTCACCTCTGCCTCCCAAAGTGCTGGGATTACAGGCATGAGCCACCACGCCCGGTACCTTAAAAAATTTAAAAGAACAGAAATCATACAATGCCCACTCTCACACCACAATGGAATTAAGCTAGAAATCAATAATATAG